TATATATATATATATACCACATCTTCTTTATTCATACTACTTAATCACTTATTTTATTTCATTCAGGAGAAAATGCTATTTTTTTCACTTTGTAATGTATTGCTATTACTATTAAGATTCAAAAAATGGGAAATATTAGGAAATATTTAAACAACAAAATCAGATTTAACAATAAAATCAGCAGTCCTCATACTATATTAAGCATAACACTACTAGTGTTTCTAAATACCAGTAAATCAAAATGTAGCATGACAGGGACTGCAAATTTAAACCAATTGAGATTGTAAGAATTTCTTCTGTATTAAAAAATACAACATATTTTAAAAGATCTAGCATAATTCTACAACAAAGTTTGTCAAACATTACCAACAACCTCAAAGTGAAGTATAAGCAAAACAATCACAACATTGGGAAGGTTATTTTTTAAGTTTGTATGATATGAGGATACTGAGTTTAGTGTTTATCTGTATGTCTATTGGTGTTTGGCTTTTTCAGGTATAAAATTTATCTTTTAAATCCAATCTGCTTGAATTATTATTAGATGCGTGAAACTGCATTTAATTACAAATTCTTACTAAACACAAGAAACAGATAACCCTGAATCCCATCATGCCAATTTATTATACATTTATATTTATATTATAAATTTACATATCACATATTCATTCATGTTCATTAAAAAATTACCAATATCATCTTTCCATCTTTCAGTTTTAATCTATTTCAAAGCCAGCCAATTTTTTTTCTATATGTCTGATATTTCTCTTCATTCTACCAGATGTAGATTTGCCATCAGAAAATTCAGTCTTTCAGAAACACCACCTATCTTCATTTTCTCTAAATTGAATCCGTGAGCCTCAATATCACAGCCATTGCTGGATTGCCGCTCCCATTCCCTAGGCCTCTACAGGGAGACCCATGTGTTGCCCAAAGAATGAAAAAGAACATCCAAGTCTAATTAAGCCCCCTACCACCACAACTCCATGAACTCTTGAGGTGGGGATAAGCTAAGGTTTGCCCAATCCACTTGAGCCACCCTCTTCTACAAGACTTGCAAGAATGTCTTGCATTATACTTTTAAGTGCAAGGGTGTTTTGCAGATATTTTTCTCCGTCTGAGGCCTCAGTCTACTCGGAGGCCAGCTTTGAGCATTGTGAGTTAGTGTCTCCATCATTTCACAAGCATACATCAAAGAAACGAATTTATTAAAAAAAAATATGGCTGCCTCTTTCACTTGACATCTCAGCCTCAGAATAAAAAGCAATATCCTTTACTTATAAAGAACGTTTCTGTGGAGACCCTTTGTGCAAAAAAAAAAAAAAAAAAAAAAAAAAAAAAGAGTTAACATAACAGGCCTGAGACTGCCTAGCCCCAGAAATTCCTGCTTTGCAAGGTTACCCTTGGCTTGCACCTGGTGACTCAGCTGATAAATGGTTTCCTACACTGATA